CCACTGCTTGCATCCCTTTACACTCAACACACCCCACCGCACCACTGCTTGCATCCCTTTACACACAACACACCCCACCGCACCACAGCATGCATCCCTTTACACTCATCACACCCCACTGCACCACTGCTTGCATCACTTTACACTCAACACATCCCACTGCACACGAGCCTGCACCCCTTTACACTCAACACACCCCACCGCACCACAGCTTGCATCCCTTTACACTCAACTCAACACACCCCACCGCACCACAGCTTGCATCCCTTTACACTCAACACACCCCACTGCACCACTGCTTGCATCCCTTTACACTCAACACACCCAAACACACCACAGCTTGCATCTCTTTACACTCAACACACCCAAACACACCACAGCTTGCATCTCTTTACACTCAACACACCCAAACACACCACAGCTTGCATCTCTTTACACTCAACACACCCAAACACACCACAGCTTGCATCCCTTTACCCTCAACACACCCAAACACACCAGCTCTTGCATCCCTTTACCCTCAACACACCACACCACAGCTTGCATCTCTTTACCCTCAGCACACCCAACCACACCACAGCTTGCATCCCTTTACCCTCAACACACCCAACCACACCACAGCTTGTATCCCTTTACACTCAACACACCCAACCACACCACAGCTTGTATCCCTTTACACTCAACACACCCAAACACACCACAGCTTGCATCCCTTTACACTCAACACACCCAACCCCACCACAGCTTGCATCTCTTTACCCTCAACACACCCAACCACACCACAGCTTGTATCCCTTTACACTCAACACACCCAACCACACCACAGCTTGTATCCCTTTACACTCAACACACCCAAACACACCACAGCTTGCATCCCTTTACACTCAACACACCCAACCCCACCACAGCTTGCATCTCTTTACCCTCAACACACCCAACCACACCACAGCTTGTATCCCTTTACACTCAACACACCCAACCACACCACAGCTTGTATCCCTTTACACTCAACACACCCAAACACACCACAGCTTGCATCCCTTTACCCTTAACACACCCCACCACACCAAAGCTTGTATCCCTTTACACTTAACACACCCCACCACACCACAGCTTGTATCCCTTTACACTTAACACACCCCACCACACCACAGCTTGTATCCCTTTACACTCAACACACCCAAACACACCACAGCTTGCATCCCTTTACCCTCAACACACCACAGCTTGCATCTCTTTACACTCAACACACCCAAACACACCACAGCTTGCATCCCTTTACCCTCAACACACCCAACCACACCACAGCTTGTATCCCTTTACACTCAACACACCCAAACACACCACAGCTTGCATCCCTTTACCCTCAACACACCACACCACAGCTTGCATCTCTTTACACTTAACACATCCAAACACACCACAGCTTGCATCTCTTTACACTCAACACATCCAAACACACCACAGCTTGCATCTCTTTACACTCAACACATCCAAACACACCACAGCTTGCATCTCTTTACAGTCAACACACCCTACCGCACCACAGTGTGCATCCTTCTGCGCTCAGCATACCTCACTGCACCACAGCTTGCACCATTTACACTCAACACACCTTACCGCATCACAGCTTGCATCTCTTTATAGTCAACACACCCTACCGCACCACAGTGTGCATCCTTCTGCGCTCAGCATACCTCACTGCACCACAGCTTGCACCCCTTTACACTCAACACTCCTTACCACACCACAGCTTGCATCCTTTTACACTTAACACACCACATCACAGCTTGCACCCCTTCACATGCAGCACACCCCACCCACCTCAGCCTGTACCCCTTTACACTCAAAACACCCCACTGCAACACAGCTTGCACCTCCTTACACTCAGCACACCCAACTGGAGTAAGTATGCAGGACAAGACTGCAAGGTTAACACCTTTGTTTTAGTTCAGTGACTCACTGGTTAAAGGTGAGCTCCAAACTAAAAAATATTATGTAAATAAAAGAGCCATGTGTATTATTGTTGTCCTTTTAGTATTTCATCAAGACCTGTCCAGTAATCCAGCATGAAACAACTGAAATTTGCTTCTGTGCAGGAGCTTTCTGTAATAAAGACCAGTCAGTGCTGCTCTCTCTCCATGTGCAGGGTGACTGGTCTTGTATCCACCCCTTCCTGTAGTTTACTGCAAGCAGCAGGTAGTGGTTGTGGCCTGCTAGACCCCTCTCACAGCTCTGGTCTCTGCACAGACTACGTGCAGCACAGTGATGATGTCACCACTATACAGGTGAAACTCGAAAAATAAGAATATCGTGCAAAAGTTCATTTATTTCACTAATGCAACTTAGCCGTCTACCAGGAGATTTTGGAGCACTTTATGCTTTCTTCCGCAGACGATCTCTATGGGGATGCTGACTTCATTTTCCAGCAGGACTTGGCACCTGCCCACACTGCCAAAAATTTTCTGAGATTGTGGATCTGGGTTTTCATGAGCTGTAAGCCATAATCATCACAATTATGACAAATCACGGCTTGAACTATCTTGCTTTGCATGTAATGAGTCTATCTCATATATTAGTTTCACCTTTTAAGTTGCATTAGTGAAACAAAATGAACTTTTGCACGATATTCTAATTATTTGAGTTTCACCTGTATATTTATATTCTTTGTGGCTATTAAGGAATATATTTAAATAAAAATGCTTGTGCCCAGAGTTCAACTTTCAGCACAACTAGGATCAGAATGACATCATCACTGGCATTGCCTGCATTTCTATCTTCACAGTTTCACTCTAAAAATCAATAAGTATCCCTAATGATGGGTTTTAGGATATATTTATCTACACACTATTCTCTGGGGACTAGACGATGAGCACAGCGACAGTAGTCATATGCCTTGTTCTTGCTTTGATTCAAAGAAGCAAGTCAAAGGTAATAGAGGCTGTAGTATATGGTAGACCGCTATATTCTATCCCTGGAAACATCCTGCTTAATGTTTTCCACGTGGCTCTGGGTGTGGCCCATAATGGGCAGAGCATTGTGCCAGCTCCACGCCTTTGCTGGCATTGTTAGGATTGTGATGTACAAAAGATACCAGACTGTATTCTAACAGGGAAAGCTGCTGCTTATTTGGCTCTGCTCAGCCTCTGCCTCTTCCAGTAAGTACGCTCCTCACTCCTATATATTACAATTATTATGCCTTTATTTGTCCATTCATATTTTGTACAGGACTGAATTGTTTCATTAGTTTTAGTTTGGTACGCAATGATTAAAGTGGAATTGTAATGCATTGTCTGCATTGAATACAATCACTCGGTCATGGTTATCTCAGGTAGCCATAGGCACTACCGATCAGTCCCAATCAATTCTCAACCAAGGTGCCTTCTGGCTTCCTCAGGGGTGCCTAGAAATTTTCACACAGCGTCATGCTGTGAACGAGGGGAATTCTGAGGTGAAGGGTGACTTCTGATATGAAGAGGGTCTTCTAATACTCTGATGTAAAAGGAGGAGGCTCCTGATGTAAAGGGGGATTCTGATGTGAAAGGAGGGAGCTCATTATCTAAAGGGGGAGTCTGATGTGAAAGGAGGGGGCTCCTGATATAAAGGGGGACTCTGATGTGAAAGGAGGGGGCTCCTGATGTAAAGCGGGACTCTGATGTGAAAGGAGGGGGCGCCTGATATAAAGGGGGACTCTGATGTGAAAGGTGGCAGTCTGATTGTATGTTTGCATGGGGTCTCCCCTTAAAATCCATACCAAACCCCTATTTGGGATAAGGGTCTGGTATGGATTTTGGAGGGACCCCACGTCATTTTTTACATTTAGGTTTTTTATACTTTAGATTGTGTTTACCTTTAAAGGGTGGTGTGGCTGAAAAAAAGGTTGAGAAACTTTGCTCTAATACACTCAAATAGGATTGCCTATCGGTTCATTGTGGAGGTATTTCATCTCCATCCAGTAACTGTAGCTAGCTTTTTATAAGAGAGAATAGCAGTTTAAAAAAAAGAAAACCAAAACTTGATGTCATGCCTTTTTTGGTAAGTCTAAGGATAGTCATAAACATGGTGGTCTTATCTTCAGTCTGACTCTCAGGTGAGGATCGGACTGTTAGGGACTATCCGAGTACTTACCTGCTTCCTACTGATGGAATTGATCATTGTCATTCACGCATCATTTTCAGGAGACATGTAGGGTGATAACACTCACCTACTGCACTTTATCTATAGAGGAGCAGCAGTGTCACCCTAGGCAGCAGCTCTCCTGATTTGGACTATTAGACTGTGTTATGGAATTGTTAAAAGCTGAATTATAGGCAGATAAAAACACACAAATTAATGCAGCTCTGTAATCATTAATACATCTTGAAATCTGTTACCAGCCTGTAGAGCAGGGCCACAGGGTGAGAGGAAGAACAGTACAAGGAGCCAATCAGTTTATGTGCTGACAAGAAGCATGCCGGTAGGAGGAGAAAGCAGAGTGAAAAAGAGGTGAGCCCATCACTGTGCTGCTTCTCCTTTCAATGTCCAGTCACAGGCTGGTGGCGGGTCCAGGGCAACCTCAACTCAGAAAAAGTAGTTTGAATGATGCTGGCTATCTCACTGAGGCCATCTAGTGACAGGAAAAAATCTTCCTAAATATTGCAGCAAAAGCAGGTTTCATTTTAACTTTTATTGGGCTATATTCTTATGGTGAACAAAAAATGATGAGGTCCTAAATGATTCATTTCTTATATACTACACCTTGCAGGGCTGTATTTAGACTACTGACTGCACGCATAACTTATGGAACTCATTTCATACAGGTTCTGTCTTTTGTCTGTGGGTAGCCTAAAGCCTTGTTCTTCCTCTTCCCGGGAGGATTATGCCCATTATGCCCATTTAACCTACTTCCTGTGAGTACAGGGTGTCATGGCTCTACCCCC